GGAATTCCTGGTTTGCTGTCGTCTGTTTTCACTCTTCTTCAGAAACCTTAACTTAAGTATGTTCTGGTTTGCCACAAAGCAGTCACTCCTCTGAATCACTTTTTGTTAAAAAAATCACTTAAAGGTTTCATTAATTGACCCCTCAGGGGAAGCGTTTGTTAGATGTCAAAGATTAGTGGGGAGCATCTCCTCTGTTCAAAGAGACTGACAGGTTGAACAGGTTCATAATAATGTAGAATTTGCTTCGTCACAGTGAACAAGTTTCTGCACCTATCTCGGACATGTTACAAAAGGCAAAAGAGTAAATCCCAAGAGCTCCAGATCTCTTGTAGGGAGATTTTAACTAGTTTTAAAGCAGACTGCAACTGCAAGCAGACCACCAGCGTAAAGACTAACTACTACTATGCAGTGATTTTAGAGTTATTTATGATATTTCAAGCAGTAGGGGATCAGAGTCTATGTTTCGTAGCAGGAAAAATGGCAATCAAATGGATGTGAGTGACTATAAAGATGATTGGATCAGATAATCTCCAAAACAGCATCTCTTGTGGGGTGTTCCTGGTCTACAGGGGTCAGCACCAACCAAAAGTGGTCCAAGGAGTCAAAAAGGTGTAGGCGAGAAGGTCACGGGTGGCCAAAGACTTGATTAAGACTTGCTCATGTTGTCTAACTGAAAAGCTACTGGAGCTCAAACGGCTGAAAAATTGAGTGTGTCCAAAACCTGATGAGAGAAGCCATGTTAGGACTGATTTCTTTGAATCTTCCATAAAGTTTCTCAGTGAGTAATCAGTTTCACTGTTATAAGAAAGTAGGGTTAGATTCTTTTTGTATTACATACTGAGACATACTGGCCACAGGGGGCGTCAGAATCTACACAAACCAAATTTTTCTGACAGGAGCTGAAACCTCTCACCACAAAATTGATCAAATGTGGCACAAAATAACAGAGAACAAGGATAACTAAAGGTAATTGCAAATTAAACACATAATATTGAGAAAATAAGTCTAAATGTCATGTGAACAAAGGTGTCAAGATCATAAAATGATAATAAGGTCACAAAATTAAAGCTAATATGTTATATAAATTGTGACTTATTGGTAGATAAATCATGTACATTTCTTATATATGTGGGAATAAAGTCCTCATATTAAGAGGATGAAGTCTTTATGTTGACTTTTTTCTTGTTAGAACTTTAATGTCAAAATAGTATGATTTAATTTACTTGGAATGTGATTTTAGTCTCATAATACTCAAATATTGCTACTTTATTCTCAGACCTTTATCACTTAATTCTTGTTATACTAAAACTTCATTCCTCTAAACTATGAATCCAGTATTGTTGTACTATGACTTTATTCTCATTATATCATGATTAGGCAGCGTGATATGAATGTTATAAAAGAAAAATGTGATCAAGCATAGTTTCCAAAAACACTGAACTACTCCTTTAAACCCAGGCATAAAACTCCAGAGAGGTCCTAATGCAGTCACTTTAACAGCTAAAATCTCCTTTCAGATGGAGATTTTCAGATCATATTATTTTAGAGATTTTTTTATGTCTGGGGTTGTCCGAACAAATGTGTTACAAAGGAATATCATGACAAAAAATATGTCTTTTGAACTAAGGTTCTGCAACTAGAGGCACATCGAGTAACTAATTAGAGCTAAAAATGCATTAAAAGGGAATGATTGAGCATGAATAAGTCTTGTGGGATATTTGAAATATCTGACACATTTCCCTAGAAACCAGAAGACCACACTTACATCATAACTTGTTCTGAAGAATTACAGATTTCTGTCTGACTTCTGTGTCATACACTCAGTGAGTAAAACGTCTCTCTGCAAAAGAAGACAGGATAACAGGTTTGACTAAAAAGTTTACTTTTACACTCATATCACTTTGTCCACAGGGGGCGCCAAAACTCCGATCCAAAGTTTCTCACAGCAGCTTTTATGAGTATTTTTAAGAATAAAACTCATGAAATTAAACTGTCTTTAGAACTCACTTTTACTGCCTCTTTGTTTTCTTTCAACAATTTCTGCACATTTTGTAATAATTTAACTAGACTATTGTTTTTATAGGTATGTTGGCTGATTAGGTAACTTCTGCATGATGTTTGGGTCAAATTAATCCTTTCTTTCTTTCTTTCAGTGCAAAAGCATATAATCATTATCACAATATACGTACACATACAGGTGCATCTCAATAAATAGGAATATCAAAAAGTTGATCTACTTCAGTTATTCAGTTTAAACAGCAAAACTCATTTTATATGGATTAATTACACACTGATATATCTCAAGTGTTTATTTCTCTTTATTTTGATGATTGTAACTTGCAGCTAATGAGATCCTCAAAATCAATACCTTGGAGACTAACGGTGTCACGCTCTAATCTGACAACTAACTCAAAACTTCTTTTAAAGGTGTCCTGGGCCTTTAAATAGTCTGTCAGCATGGATCAGCATGTCACACAATCATGGGGAAAACTCCAGACTTAACAGCCGTCCAGAAGATGATCAATAACACAAGAAGACACAAAGGGTAAGACACAAAAGGTCATTGCTGAAGAAGTTGTCTGTTTACAGAGAGCTGTATCCAAACACATTCAGGGAAATTTGAAAGGGAGGAAAAATGTGGTAGAAAAAGGTGAACAAGCAACAGAGATAACCGCAGCCTTGAGAGGATTGTAAAAACAAGCCTATTCAAGAATTTGAGGGAGATTCACAAGGAGCAGACGGCTGCTGAAGTCAGCGCTTCAAGAGCCACCACACACAATCGGACTGGGGACATGGTCTTCAACTTGGGCACTCCTTGTGTCAAGAATTGTGACAGCTGACCTTGATTTCCCAAAGAAATCCAGATCCCACAGTCTGGAGAAAGAGAGTGAAAGCACAGAATCCGAGGTGCTTGAGGTCCAGTTGAAAGTTTCTCTAGTCAGTGGTGGTTCAGGGAGCCATGTCATGTGCTGGTGTTGGTCCACTGTATTGTATCTGGTCCAAGGACAGCGCAGCCATCTACCAGAAAGTTTAAACACACTTCATGCTTCCTTTTGCTGACCGTCTTTATGAAGATGCTGATTTTATTTTCCAGCAGGACCTGCCCACACTGCCAAAACTACCAATACCTGGTTTAAGGACCATGGTATCCATGTTATTGATTGGCCAGTAAACTCACTGAACCTAAATCCCATAAAGGATCTTTGGGGTATTGGGAAGAGGAAGATGGGCGACACCAGACCCAACAAAGCAGAGGAGGTGAAAGCCGCTATCAGAACACCCACAGACTGACTGCCTCCATGTCACGCCGCTTTGCTGCATTTTATTCACTGCTAGGGCATTTAGGAAGCACATGTTGAGTTTAAACCTTTTAGAGAAGCAGCATTTGAAGCACTTTCTCATGAATTTACACTCCAGAGAGAACCTTTTGTAACTTTTGTTTAGACATAAGCGCACCACTGATCTTCATCAACCCTTGAACACTATCGCCGGGTGATTTTCACTTGACCAAACATGTTAATGTGATTTTCATCATGCTGCATTTGTCTGAGTATCATGGGTCTCTGAGTAGCTTCAGCATTGCCTTTGACATCTTTGAAGGCATACTTGTTTCCCTGATCAAAAAGTTGCTTTTTCCTACAGGCACGTGTTCAGGTGATTTTCACCCGGCAGTAGTGATACAGGATAAAGTAGGTTTAGTAAGAGTCAGTTACTGACCTTTAGTAAGGTCAGTAAGAGTGGTCCTGGAATTTGCATGCTATCTTTATTTAGTGCAGTGGTTATGAATAACTATCACAAACAGACGCTTAGGCATAGGCCCAAGGCATAGGCAAACTAAGCGCCTGCTTAGGGCCCCGTGGCCAATAGGGGGCCCCCAAGAACAATGATTTTTTTTTTTTTAATGTATGAGTGATGCTTTCTGTATGATCAAATATATATTATTGTAAAAAATAGTGTAAAAAAAAGTAAAAACATTTTAGTGCTGCTGCTGATCTAGGCCTTTGATTCTTACTGCCGATATGTCAAAGCTCCGCTACCATTATGTGCCTTCTGCTGTGAAAATGTGCACTGAGCATCCAAAGCGCAGGTAGTTGTGGGGCAGAACAATGTCGCAAAAAAGGACATATCCTTCAGGAGCAGAGAAAAGAAAGACGAAGGAGAGAAAAAAATGCCAAGATAAAGATATTTTTGCATGTCATGGAATGTTAATCAAAGAGATGGATGAAGGTGTGTGAATGATCAACAATCAATATTATAGACAGAAATAGAAAAAATCAAATTTTGCTTCAGGGCCCATTGAGTGAGTAGTGATTTTCAAGGGAATTCATATGGTGATAAGAAAATATTTCAGTCATATATATATATATATATATATATATGTAGATTTATATATATATAAAATTTTTTGTTCATGAATGCCTAATTTCAGTTATTTTGTTGCATTTTTATATGATCCCCCTATGGCACTTTTTTCCCTCCTTTTGGACACTGCACAGTTAAAAATAAAAGAAAAATAATTTGTCATATATTGTCCTATTTTGATATATTTTGATGACAGGTTCTTTTTCTTGGATAAATTATTTCAGGTAAAAATCACCCAGAGATAGTGATGGTGTTACTAATTTTAGCCATAGTGTTCTAGGGTTGAAGTAAATCCACTGTTGACTTTGATAGACTGCAAACATCGTGGATACTCTTTGAAAATAGAGGTATGGTTAGATAACTTACTTTTTTGAGTATTTTTTTTACTGTTACTTTAAAAAAATATATCTTGGGTCCAAATGGCCCAGAAAGTACCGGAGGATCCCAAAAACTTCACACAAAACAAGGGTTCAAGTCCTTTTTTTTATAATCATTTTTCTGAACTCCATCCCCATTGGGCTGCAGCCTCAGTGTGTGTGTGTGTGTGTGTGTGTGTGTGTGTGTGTGTGTGTGTGTGTGTGTGTGTGTGTGTGTGTGTCACAGGGGGTGTGGACGCGGAGAAGGGGAGGATCACGTGTCAGCGTGTTTCGGTAAAGAGCTCGTGGAGCCATAAAGAGGTCGCTGTACCTGTCGTGCGCTCAGGTCGATCCGGTTCAAGTAGGTCTACTCTTCGGTCTCATTTCAGATTTTTCTTCCTCGTCCGTCTGAGCGCGAGAGGATCCTTCTGATTGGCTGCAGCGGGGATCGAGCTCCTCCAGCCCACCCACCGCTGATTATAGGGACGGTTCAGTTTGAGTCGATTTCCTTCCTCTCAGTGAGTCTGTCAGTCTGTCTGTCTGGGACCTGGCCCCGGCTGAACGCACACTCTCTCAGCGCGCATCATGGCAGCTACCCACGGCGAGTACCGAGGCTATCTGCGGAACACCGTCGACATGGAGGCCGGCCAGCACCGCTTCCACCCGGTGCAGAGCTCGGAGCCAACGTACCGGCCCCTCCTGTTCGGGACCCTCGCTGTTATGGGATTGCTTCAGGTGGCTTCCAGCGTGGCGATCTTACTACACCTTACTGGGTACCTGCAAGAGGTAGGCTCAGTGACACAGTCTGCAAAGTCATTTCTGTGCTTTGAAGGATTACTCAAGCTCTGGTTCAGTGCGTAAACATTTATCTCCAAATGTTGTCAACAGATCTCTGCTCAGATCAAAGCCTGTAAAGATACTGCGGCTGCGTTTGCGCAATTTTATAATGCCATAAACCGCCAGACGAGTTCTTCTGCTCTGTAAAAAGTTGTCGGCTCGCTTTTAGAAGTTACAGTAGGTGGATTCAACAGAAAGGGGAAAGAGCCTGAAGAGTGAGCCAGCTCTGCAGATCTGTGCGCCAAGATTTCCTGCACTCATGGCGTCTCTTTGAAGGCGCTGCGCTTTGGCGGCATGCAGTTGTAACAAGTCTTCCCCCGGCTGTAAAAACGCACAGATAGCAATCTTACAAAGCCCCGATGAGTGTTTCCAAAACGAGCAGAGATTTCAGCTTGTTTCACATCATCCGTTTTAGCGGAGATAACATCTCTCTGCAAACTCTCCATGTATCGGTCGTGCAAAGATGTCTTGTTTTTGCAAAAATGCAGATGTTTTCACTCCAGAATCCGGGCTGCTGCTATTCTTGAGCGTGTTTACATGCCATCCGGGGTTGTATTTGTAATTCATACATGTCAGAAGCTGTAAACTTTGCAAGCAGAGGCTGAACTGGTTCCAGAGAGTTCTGCAGAGGTCATGGCTAATCTGTCATGTTGCAAAAGTCGGAGATAAAAATCCAAATGTCCTTTAACGGTCCATTACTCTCTTGTCAGGATTGCTCTCTTGAAATCTGAGTGTTAGTGATCTTGTAGAATAACATTTACATTCTGCCTGGGCTGTTTTTCTTAACTGGATGGCGGTTCTGGAGTTGGATTATTGTCGTGTTTCGACAAGCCAAGAGAGCAGACCGCATCCCGGCTCTGTCAAGATGCTCCGAGGTCACCTGGGGAGCATCCGTCTCTCTCTGTGTGTCTCTGTGTTTGTGTGTTAAATTTCTCTGGCTTGTTTTTGGCATAAACACGCTGCAGTGTGGTGGTAGCTTGTTATGTTACTGGAAGGGAGCCAGAGAGGAAAAAAGAAATAAAAAAAGGGGTAGGAGAAGGAGGAAAAACCCCAAATAGGAGAAGCGAAGGGAGGAACAGAATGTTTCATTGTCCGGAAACTTCATGCTTACTGTCATTAAGTCTTTGGATTGTTCAGAGAGGGATGCAGGACTGGGTCTGAGACTCTGAGGCAGGAGTTGAATCCGGTCTCAGGTCAGTCCGGATTAAGACGCAGCCTTTTTTCTCAGGATGACAGCTGCATATGGTAGCACTCTTGAGCGTGACTCAGTAGCAGATTGAAGTTTGGCAGCAGACCATCATCTGCCCTCAACACCTGTAAGAGCTTCCTGGAGGTGAGGAGGAGAGCTGGAATCTGCACAGCACCGTGCCTGCAGAGGAATGTGCTGATAGAGGGGGGGATTTAAAAAACTGCTGCTCAGCTTCAGAAGAGAGGAGAGGAGAGGGGGAATGCATGAAAACTTTCTGAAAATAATCCATAACAGCGCTAAAATTCTGATACAGGATCTTAACAAGCATTTTAAAAGTATTAGATGGGAATGGGATTTTATCTTGACTTTGTTTGAACAGGGCGTGGCTTTACCTGAATTCTTTAACGTAGTTATTTCCCGGTGTCATCCTGAGGAAAGCCACACCTCAGCAGTCTTATAGAAAATGGTTCAAAGAGCAAACTGAGCTTTTTTTGGTTAAGAAATTCCCGCCTGTATTGGAGGAATTGTTCCAGCCAGATTTTGGTCGTTGCTCATGAGACTAAACTCCACTTTCAAATGTGCATTTTTGACCGTTTGAAGTCGTGCTTACGGCGGCTTTTCGCTCTGTAATAAAGAACAAACAATAGGTCCTCAGATCTCACAAACTTTCGCCTGCTGCTGCAGAGGAATGCAGACTGACGTGGAAAATAACTCAGCCTCCCACTCCCACACGCAAACACTCTTGACTGACTGTGCTTGTCTTCCTGTGAGGCTGTATCCCTCCCTCACACACCTGTCAGAGAAACAGATAGTGCTCATAAGAATCAATGATACTGTTTTAAACTTTGACCTCTCTGACCTCTGCTCCTGTGTGTTTTTTTTTTCTCCGCAGGTAGATTTATCCACAGCGCCGCATCGACCCATAGAGGTGAGTTTGACCCCGAGGTTAACCTCATTAGCACGACACACCCTCTGAGTGCAGCCAGTTTAAGGAACATGAACATGATTTCTTTCCCTGCTACAAAACTTCAACATTAGTCTGTCTGAAAACTTTCTTTTCTAAAGTTAAAGATCTAAATTTATGAGGTTGGATGTTACAAAGACTCTTCCAAATAAAGATCCAACAGATTTGATCTTGTTGAACACGGTTGGTTGTGTTTCACCTAAAAGGAATGATAAATCACCATGGGCTGCAAGAATAAGGCAGAATGATGCAGGAATTATGATCAAATACTCTGATCAGCCTCTCTTTAAGTTTCGGCCTCTATTATTTTTGGGTGTACCAAGGGATTATATCCTTAGTGCATAAAACAGACATTACCACCATGGTGCAATCCATTCATTTCTGGACTAGTACCTAGAAGCTTCGGGTCTTTTATGTTAAAGGCCTTGTTTAGATGAAACATTGTGAAATCTAGGTGCACATAGATCCACAAAAACATATGAAAACACTAGAGTGAAAACGCAACGCTGACTGGGAGTGTAATATGCACGTGAGAATGGGGTTGGGATTCACAGGAACCATGTGTTACCAGTTTATGCAGCAACAGACAGGCAGCGTTAGATTTTACTTTAGGACCTGGTTTCAGAAGTTTGTATTTTCAGCTGCTCCGATTGGTGTTTGTGTGTGAAATAAAAAAGGCAAAATGTAGCCACAGTTTGAAGTTGCCCTGCCTCCAAAGTGAAGATGAACTGTCAACCAGTCAGTCAATCACAGGTAGCCCTGCCTCATATACACCCTTTCTTTCTGGTCTTTATGGTCTTTTTTGACTCTGAATGTGACCGTGATTTACAAAATAATCATCGTACTGTCATGAAGAAGAGAGCAAACCAAAAAATCAAGTTCATGAACTCATTAGGAAAATATTTACTGAGGGAATAAATCACTGAGAAGTAGCTCTATGTTGTCATAGACTTCTGTACAGTCAGACTTCTTTTGCAACCAGTGGAGCTGCCCCCTAATGGCCAAATCTAATAATGCAGGTTAAACACCTTTTGGCTGTTTTCACTTTTACACTGTGGTTCGGCAACCATCATTACACCTTTGTACTTACCATTGGCATTTATAGACGGCATAATAATGGTGTCTCAATGCCCTCCAGGGATTAGAGAAGTATTTCTATTTGCATAATGGATACAAATCGTGCTGCCAGGCTCTTAAAAAGCACCTACCTTATATGTAAATCCTGGTAAAAGTGAGACACACCTTTAGAAAACATTTTTTTATAATCCAGACAGATTGCAACCATTGTATTTATCCGTCTCCAAACTGAAGCCAGATTTAAATTCTGGCTGATTGCTCAGTGACATGTTGGTAAAAGCAGGAAAGTAACAGTTAGCCAAAAACGATTTCAATGCTCCAAAGCATATCAGGTATTTCTCTCCTGTCACTGTGAGAAGGGGGTGTACAGTAAGTGCGATGATGCAGTTATGTTTTGAAAAGAGAAGAGTTAAAGCAGCACTAAATAAATAAGATTTTAATCTACTGCTCTGACATTCGTCATGATTTCCCCATGGGTGTGTTTCAGCACATACCACAGCTTCTGTAAAGCAAAACACTGAGCCTCAGGTGGTCACACGGGCTGATGAGAGGTCAGACCGCAGCGGGAAAACACCTCTCTGACTTTTGATTTGCAGGAAAATGAGCCGTAATTCAGCTTTTTTTTTTTCCACACGGTTTGATTATTTTCTCACCGACACTGTGCTCGGAGAAGTTTGCTGCATCCTCTCTCTATGAGTCACCCTCTGGCGTCAGCGGTTGCAGAGTCGCTCTGATGATCAGCAGTAGCATGAGAGAGTTGTAAAATAAGAATTCTTAATTGCTGAAGTCATATCTTTCTCTAATCCCTGTTTGGAAGTCGCCGCCCCATTTTGGCACAGGTTTTCGCAGAGCAAAGGCGAAATCCATCCAGGAAGTCAAACAGAAGAGAATAAAAGCGCTGCTTTGCCTCACCGGTGTTTGGTTTCCCATTATGCTTTAATTTCCTTTGAAATTATGCATTTGCGTTCGCTCTGGGAATCCCTGTTGGAGCTCTTACCCAAACCACCCAGCCTGATGTTGGACTGAGGAGCTCATTGTGTCGTTGGCCCTCGGCTGTTTCCCATGGAGCTCTGGGAGACGTGCTGGGAGCTTTATGAGGTGTCTGGGTGACAGGTCCACTTGGCCCACACTGTGTTGTGTTAGGGTCAGCTCTCAGACCGCCGCTGACAGTTCAGAGGATTTGTTAGAGAGCAGGCCTCGTCGGGGCCGCTGTCAGCTTTGATGTGAGGCAGGATGTACAGGACGGGCCTCCGCCGGGCTCGGGCTGTGGTCAGCGCGATGGCGGGAGTGGTGAGAACAGGACGGTGATTCAGACCCGGCTCATGACCCCAGTGTTTAAAGTCTGAGCAGATTGGTGAGAGAGGGAGATCTAAATGATGAAACGCAAAGAGACAAACGGCTTTGGTGGCCGAGTTGTGAGTGAGAGGACTTTTGTTCTTTTGCAGCATCTTAGAAACCACTCATCAACATAATGGAGACGTTGACTGATGAATGTGGTGCGTAGTTATAGGGCTGAGTTGAAGCCTGCATGCTCGGTGGAATTCAAGGAGCGAGCATGTGAAATCAAGTCAGGCGTAGCTGCGCGATTATTTCAGGCAGACTTTGTCCTTCCTGTAGCAGCTCCGTCTGCTGCAGAGTCACTGTCCCCCTGCACAGCGGGAGGCTGCTGAGCTGCCCCGACTTTGTCCTCTCTCTCTGGTTGAAGAGGTATGACGCGGTCGCACCACAAATCAAGATAGATCCCACATTGCACAGCTAATTTGGAGAGCGTTCACAATCACTCTGCAGGCCTTGGCAGGACGATGTTTACCCCCGTCTCATTCCAAGACGCAGCGCCATAAACATCTTTGTGTTGCAAATTGTTTTTGGAGGACAGACGGAGCTAATTTTAGTTTGTAAATTTGTCTAGACTTGGCTTTTGGATAAATACTGGACAAAAATATTAACACGGTGCAGGTGCAGGATTGCAAAACACAGCTACCCTGATGGTGTTGCTTGTGTCGTAAGTCAGTACGTTTAAAGTTTTTATCCAGCACTTTCACTTTTTTTAGCTGTTGGCTCAGAGCAAAGATGAGATTATGTCTCACCTACACCTGAGATCAGTGGATCAGGGGAAATGAGTCAAACTAAGAAACAAGTCGAAGCATCTTTTGGATGTGATACAACCAGACGATAAAGTGTATTTTGGAGATGTGAGACCAACTTGCACCCGTGCAAACTTTGAAAAAAATACCTTCTTATCTTCTTATCACATTTGTAGTTGCATCAGAAGTTTTCACCTCTAACTTATCTCCAAATTATTCGCACAACCGTCACTTTTCATAGACCTGCAGAAACGAAACCCTTACTAAGGTTTTCCCCTTTTGTCGTCTCATTTGTTCAAGAGATAGTCCATACAGAGAAAGGCTAGCAGCAAATTCTCACATTTAAGCAGCAGGAAAAAGCAAATATCTGACATTTTACTCCAAAATAACCCAGACAAAAGATAATCAAAGAGTGTAGCAAATCCTTCCTTTCTTATTCTTGCAGCTCTGAATTGTTGCAAGCCTCTAAAACTTATTGCATCCCCATCATCCCTGAGACCTCCTGTGTGAGAGTCAGACCGAAGGTGGAATCAGAAAACAAAACACGCCTGATATTTTCATTTCATGCCAGATGTGTTACAGAGTTGGCAGCTCTGGCGCAGTAACTGTTTACTTGCTTGGAGACCATGTTTTCTCTCAGTGTATATGCTTCGTCTTGCCTGAGGACGGCAGACTGCGGATGACGGCGCCTTGAATAGAATCAACTCTTTGGCATCTGAATACGGTCCAAGAAAGTTTTGATGCCAAATCCTTGAAAAGAGCAATCTATCTGAAAGGTTACACTCAGCGGGAGGCCTCTCTGTCACAGCCCGCAGCCTTGAAATACAACAACAGCAGTAAAATAAAGTTAGCAGCCCATGCACGCTGAATTCAAACACACACACACACACGCGTGATTGTACAAAAGCAGAGGGTTATTCAAAGAGACAGCCGAGCCAAGCAGTGGTAACAAACGTCAAAAAATGTTGATACCTTAGAGCGAGTCGTTTCGATGTAGTTTAATCGCTGATTGCTTCATTGAGGTTTTTCATTCACATTCAAAGTTTGATGAGATTTCTCCTTGTTTTCCATAGGAAGTGCAGACGGAGCCGGTGCTGAACGCTCTGAGAGACCCGAGGAAACCCAAACGGTGCAAAGCTTCTAAGGAGAGCCTGCCGTCAGCCCATCTACCGATCAAAACGCACCAAGAGTACTCAAAGAGTGAGTTCAGATGAAGTAGTTTTACATTTATCTGGTCTTTGATGCTTTATACGATTTAATGCAGAGGTGCAAAAAACTGCAGTTCCTTAAGTGTCCACTAGAGGCTGGTTGCAAAAGCTACCAATTCCCAATAAGAGTCCAAAATACTATGTTCGCAGCTCAGTATACAGAACAGTTGTAGCATATTTATTTGTTCTTTGAGACGTTTCAAGCACTAAATCGTACTTTCATCATCTGTTTAGAAAAGATAAAGAGTAAAAGTAAAGCACAGTTTTGCATTATGAGAGGCGTTGACAGACAGGTTAAGATGGTAGCTGTCAGATCCTTTCGTTTTGTCACTTTGTTCGTTTTCGCTCATGATTTTAGAGCATGCAGAGTGCTCTTTACTGTCATTGGTTAAAGAGAAAGAAAACCTGCATGCTTCACTTTCTGTTAGGAGGTCAACAGATGTAACCTTGATGGTTGTTTATGACACACAACACTCAGTAATATGAGCAGTTTTTAGGGCTGACTGGTCATGAATATGTAGACTCACTCAGTAAACGTTGATATGCTCTCGCTATAGTTTGACCTCAAATGCCTCTAGAAACCAGTGGGTGATGACGTGTTTTGGGTGGGGAGCAGAACAGACTCTATAAAACATGGATGTATTCCCAGTGGGATCTGAAGCCATGTAATAGTGGTCGCCATAATATAAATGCTCACTCAGCCCGACTCTAGGTGAATTATGGTAAAGAGGTGGATCTTAAGCTCCTCCCCTGACAGCTACTGTATGCCCACCTGTCAGCTCAACTATGATAACTAATGAGTGACCAAAAAAGTTCAACCCAGAGGAGAATTGAGCTATTCAGCATAAAAATACTTTTTAAACCAGGCTGTAAACATGTTTATTTTTAGTTTAAAAAAATGGGCTTTTCTGTCAAAGTGTGTATGTGGTTTCTGGCGCCAAAGGAGTCAGCCTCAAGTGGACACTCAAGGGATTACAGGTTTTTTTTTTTAGCGCACTCACGTTGACTTCATTTCTCAAAATCAAGGCTGCTGCTTGGAAAGGGTTGGGAATTAAACCAGTAGCTACTGTGATGAAGACTGCTGCCTCTGGGCCACTGAAGCAATTTAAACCAGTGTTACTCAGTGCATCTTTTTTGCATGGTGCACTTGTTTGCAAAGTCAATGCATTGATGCTAATAACAGAGCACAGCACTAAGGAGAGCAGTTGTATCTTCTAGTTTGGGATGACATGCCTCAGTGTTAGGATTTCCTATTCACTCTGAGATTGCAGCAGGAATGGGAATCACATCTAAGGAGCATTTAAAAGCTGTTGGCTCATCATCTTGCAGATAAACCTGACAAAGCTTGAGTTCATAATTTGAGAGCTTTAATTGCAAATATATTATGACAGAATCTGATTATTTTGAAGTAAACTAGATTGTAGTAAGAGCAGTGCACAATTTGTTCAGAATTTGACTCAGGTTTGGTCTGCTCTCCAATAAAAGACGATAACCAAACATGTCTTTTCTCCTCTTTTTTCCAAGAAGAGGGTGAGAAGACGGCCGTCACTATCGACTGGGAAGACGTGCACGCATGCTGCCACAAAATGGACTACAAGAGGGGGAAACTGCTGGTGAGGGAGTCTGGTTTCTACTACGTTTACTCCAAAACCTGCTTCCGTTACTACGCCATCACACCGGAGGACGGCACGCCGGCGGTGGATGTCAGTAACACTCAACTCATCCAGTACGTCTACCACGAGATCAACAAACACAACAGCAAGGCGGTGCTGCTGATGAAGGCGGGCAGCACCATGCGCTGGAACAATCAGAGCTACAACATGTACTGTGCTCAGCAGGGCCGGGGGGTCCGGCTGGAGCAGGGGGACGCTCTGTTTGTCAACGTGTCCAACGCTTGGATGCTGGACCCTGAGGGAGAAGGGACGTATTTCGGGGCCATAAAGTTGGGCAACTGAAAGTTAAACACACGGGGAGCGGACATGCTACTGAACATTTAAAATGCCAAAGAACCACTGATTTATGATGTCAATTTGTCAAAAAAAAAGTGTTTTTTTTATCGTACACATGTTGATATCTTTATTTTGTCCTTCACCAGACAGCCGTGGAGTCACTTTTAGCGACTAATGGAAAAGGAAGTCACCTTTTAAGACTTGTCTAGGCACTTACACCCAAAAATGAGACACACAGCTCTCAGCTAAATAGCACTGGACTATTTTTAGACTTTTTATAACGTCTTGACAGACTCTTTAAATACCTTCTTTTTTTTTTTTTGCTGTTTGTATTGGAGCTTCTCGATACATTCCAGTTCAGATTTCAACAATAAGACCTAAGCATGGACGTGTGTTTATGCGCTTATTAAGCAAACCATAAAGGGAGCAACTGAGGGAGTAGTTTTCTGGCAGAAAGAGGCAGTGAGAAAGGATTTATCAATGTTGAATGTTGGAAAAAAAAAAAAGTCCCAAAAAAGAGCACTGAAGCTGGAAGAGCATCTGTTTTTACTTAGCAGATTATCGGAGAATAAAAACATCAAAACTCTGAATGCACAGATGTTTCCCTGAAAGATTTTGCAAGTGTGAACAAGGAAAGAAATGAGGCGTCCTCACAGTAAGTAAGTCATTGGTATGATCCGAAATAGGCAGAAAGATTGAGAAGTTTTAACACCCACAAAATCTCTGAGGCACAGTTTTAACTTAATGATATAGTCTTTGGCTTGGACTTTGTTTTAAGCAACAAAACCTTTAAAAAAAAAAAAAATGCTCCAAAACCTCCAGATTTCTGTCTCTTAAAAACCCTACGAGTGGCCTGCCTCACTGAGAGCGACGTACACGACAATGTCATTGAAACCTGCAGAGTTAATGACATCTGTTTGTTCTTTTTATGACAATCAACAGGTGATGCAGATAGCTGGACTGTCTGACCACAAACGACATGAATAGGCTCTTGTCTTCTTTAAACCAGAGGAACCAAATTGAGTTTGGTTCGTCTTTAACTTAAATTTTTTTGTTTTTCATTTGGCTCTTCACTGAGGTAAATGGGAATATGCACTAAATATTTATTTATTAGCCAAAGAAGTACAGAGTGAGGTCATTGTTAAAGTGACCTTTTGGCTGTAGAAATCATTTATATTTTGTGTCTGTATGACATTCATTACGCAGCACTTAGAGGAAATAGTAGACACGCTTTTTGTTATTCAAACACAGGGGCTTCATTTTAAATTCCATATTTATGTATCTTGATTTTGACAATTCTGTGTGCACTCACCTAGCCAAAAGCAATATGGATATATTGTTCTTCTATAAGATTGTAGCATACCTGTAAGATTTTCATCTGATAGACTTTTTTCCCGTTCAGTGTTCTTTTTTTATTTATGTTTCTGTATGTTTTAATAAAAAAAAACTACTTTTGTATCAGTGTGTATCGTGTGTGTTGACATTACCCGACCCGGGCTGGTGCTTCACAGGATTAAATCTCAGCCACCTTCTACTGTAACCTGATAAACAGGCCACCCTGACTCTAGTATTATTGTGATGTGCAATTTGATAATCTCGACAATCTTTGGAAAATTCAACACCGCCACGGCCAAAAGAGTGAAGTCACGCTGTTCCGTTAACCCGGTCAGAGCGGCCCACAAGCTCATTACAGAGATGGGTTGTATAGAAAAGCCGCCCACTGCTGCTGCAGACCAGGCCACGGTACAGAGTGACCTGCAGAATTAACAAGAAACAGACGATACAGGATGGGAATAAAGATGAGGGGTTCATTATTTCACCGCTCCGTGTTTGTCGTTTTGATCATCGCGGCGTTGGGTCTCCCATGAAGCTCTACAGCGTGTGCGAGAAAGTTTTAAAGTTGGACACAAAGCCAAACAATCCCTCTATTGTCTGCAAATGGGCGTTCACCAACATACGAGCAGAGGAGGGTTCACACGTTTGTGCTGTTTGCAGGGACCTCACACAGGTTTCAGCCCATTGTTTAAATGTTACTGAGAGTTTGAAACTAAATCTGAGGTTTGAGGAGAAAAAAATTGGCCCGGCTGCATACGGAGCTGATTAGATGTTTCAAGTTTTGACATGATTTTTATTGCCATTTTTTTCTGAACCATACAGCGCAGACTTGGCCGCAGAAAAAAAATAGTACCACGCATGTGGACATAAAAACTGGCCTTTTGAAATGCCGAAATGTTGAGAAAGGGGTCCAAGAATAAACACCAAAGCGAATCCAAGGCACTCTTCCAGATGGTCAAAAAGCACATAACAGAACAGATAGAGACAAGCCACAGAGTGTTTGGTCACAGAGAGTGTCTTTAGGGCTGACGGTCTAATGACAGTCAGGTAATTGCCTGGTGAAGCCCTCTCTGTTGATTAATCAACACTAGAGATCAGTGCAAATAGTTGTATAAGAAGTACTTGGATCATGTACTTTAAACTTCTTAGAGAGAAGATAAACAGAGAACACTCAGCCCAAAACAGCAGCTGGATCCATTAAGCCAGGCTATAGTTACAAGTCTGACTAACACATACCTTTTTTGTCTGATGGAGAATACAGAGCCTTTCTAGTTTTTAGTCTAAGTTGCAGGAAAAGCTGAGATAGAAAAAATAGATGATGAATAAAGATTATTGAGATTAAAAGTCAAATGTCTAACAGAGAGTTGGTGTGATGTTGATGCAGTCCAAATATCAAGAGTTAAACTTAAGTTTACTAATGGACCGATCTCAGGAGAAATAAATCATGCTAGGTGATCTTGTCTGTAGGCAAAAATTTTGAGAATCTTGTTGAAATCAAAAATAGAGTTCAGTCAGGAACTCTTTCATCATTCAGAATCAATAACTTACATGCAGAAAGTTGTATTGGTTGGAATAGCTCTGGTCTGGCTGGGAGAATAGCAGCAAAGCCCTCCAGGTTGGGGCTCCCTGCCTTTCCACATGGCATGCAAAAACCTGAAGCACGGAGAGAACAACCCCAAACCTAACCCTAACCCCTCCTTTTTATGCATACACTGTAAATATAAATGCCAAGGCTGGGAGAGCAGCAGCAAAGACTCCTGTGGTAAAGTTCTCTGCCTTTTTATGTGCATTTATGATATGCAAAAACCAGAGGTTTGGAAAACACACCTCCTTTTTGTTCTTAGTGTATAGTATTAGAAGCTAGGGCAGGGAGAGCAGCAGCAAAGACTCCCAGGGTAGAGTTCCCTGTCCTTCTGTGTGTATATAAGATATGCCAAAACCTTAGGCTATGATAGCAGTCTCCCCAGTGTTTCATGTGCGTTAACAAAGAGCCATGGCAGGGAGAGCAGCAGCACAGACTCCCAGTGTAGAGCTCCCTGCTCTTCTATATGCATACATGAAATGCCAAAGCCTGAGCCAGAGAGCACACCTTCCTTTTTGCTTATGTGCATATTTAAGAAGCCAAGGCAGGGAGAGCAGCAGCAAAGGTCCCAAGTTTACATAGTGTATCCATCATATTAGTGCTATCAAACAATGAGAATACAGAGTGTCCCACACATGTTTGAGTTTTAAGGGTGAACTAATCAAACTGTGAGAAAAACAAGTGATAATAATAAAGTTGATGCTTTAGGATTGAACTATGAGAGGATAAGTTTGTTGAAGAGCCATGGGTTGGGGTGTGGTCCTGCCCCTGAAACAAAGTTCAGACATCTTGAAACTTGAGGGTGAAGTCAAAATGTTGGCATTAAAGTTGAAATGAAGAAAATAAAGTCATACTCTCAATGTCAGCACCACTTTAAGAATTAATTCTGTGTGAAAGAAGGGAAAAAAGAAAATCACCCTCAAATATTTTGATTCCTACATCTGAGGCTGATTCTCCTCTGTAGTGCTGCACAAGTGTGAAAAGTGCTTTGATGAAGCGCCGTTAGATCACAGCTTTTGAGGACGTTTTCAACAAAAACAACAAAAACACTTGTAGGGATTTTGACATCACCTCATCCGTGGTGGTCAGAGGGCGACTCTGCTCAGCTCTAAACAGCTGAAGCCAACAGTGTAAACAGTGGACGTCCGTAGTGTGCCATCCTTTGAAGTGACTCAATTTCTCAAGTCTTGGCACAGAACAGAAACCATTAAAAATGTGTTGTGTCAGTAAACATTATGGAGAGCTTGACGTCCACTGGACACCCACCCTGAACACACACACACACACACACACACACATGCACACACACTTCAAATCAACACATATACCCAATTTCAATCTCACACTCACAAAGACAGAGAAGTTTCATTGGCTCGCTGCTCTCACTGGTTTATAAAATGAGCCCGTTTGGCGCAAGTACAGAGCTCACCAGCTTATTTTATGAGTCACAGTAAAAAAACAAACCAGCTATGGTGATGAAAATCGATTGAGCAATCCTCGACCAATGTAGGTAAGCATTTCAGCTCACACTACATTTATGGAAGAGAGATTTCTGACTGCAAACTTTGTCTCACAAGTGTTTGAAAAACTCACAAATCTATACATCCTGATTTGTGCAGTTTGACGTGGCGGTAAAGTTGAAGGTAAATAATATAAAAGTAAAAGCCTTTTAGAGGTCGAGCTTTGTTGCAGTTACATTGCCCGTTGCATGACTTGGTAGATAATCCCATTTTGTTTCTCAATTGTTTGATTTTACATTTAATGCTGTTGGGATTGTTGTTCATATTATGTTACCTAAGCTAACCAAACCTAACCTAACTTAACCTCAACTCAACATGACCTCAACTCAACCTAACTTAACTAAACTCAACTTAAGTTAAGTTAACTCATCTCAACCTAACTTCACTTAACTAAACTTATGTAAACTCAACTCAACCTAACTTAACTTTACTTAACTCAACCTAACCTAACCTAACCTAACCTAACCTAACCTAACCCAACCTAATCTAACCTAACCTCAACTCAACATGACCTCAACTCAACTCAACTCAACCTAACTTAATTCAACTCAACCTAACTTCACTTAACTAAACTTATGTAAACTCAACTCAACCTAACTTAACTTAACTTTACTTAACTCAACTCAACCTAACTTAACTAAACTTAAGTTAACTCAACTCAACTCAACCTAACTTAACTTACCTAAACTTAAGTTAACATAACTCAACTCAACCTAACTTAACTTTACTTAACTCAACTCAACCTAACTTAACTAAACTTAAGTTAACTCAACTCAACTCAACCTAACCTAACTTAACTTAACTAAACTTAAGTTAACATAACTCAACTCAACCTAACTTCACTTAACTAAACTCAACTCAACTCAACTCAACTCAACTCAATAATGTGATTCTGAAAGGAAGATCCTTGAAGTAAACTGGCACACCTTCAGCGACCAGTATCAACTCCCAAACTTTTAAATCAATGACTTGAATCAATGACTCTGGTTCGCATCAGATAATGTAGGTTGGTTCAAAAGCTGCCCAGTCAGTCAGATCAAGCAATTCAGGCCATTGATGTCAGTACAGGTATTTAAAAGTGGTCACAGGTCATATTTGGCACTAGGTAGGCTGTAATGGCTGCCTGCCACACAGACACAATGTGTGTAAATTAAGCATCAATAATGTAAACCAACCCTTGAAACTGTATTGAGACCTAAAAGCATCCCTTAATATGGAAAAAATGTATATGAAATAGACTCATAATTTATGTATCGACACAATCCACCATCTCTTCTCCGCTTCCTTTCTTTATGTTTATATTTACATCTATAAATGGTATTTAATATGTAAACGAAGGACCCTCTTTTTTTAAAATTCATCCTCAGGCCTTGTCCCTCAAAGTTATCGCAATAGCAGTGACTTTTTAAGGAGTAGATCCTTAACTCTTGTACTAAATTAAGACCCTTGTTTCTGATACTTCCAAAAGAAATCTGGAACATTCCCGCTGCTGTAAAGGACCTTCAAACATACAGAAATTCTTCCTAAATGCAGCACTCAACATGAGTCAGCTCATGTCCATGTATGCAGATTCGACTCTGCCTGTGAGGTCTGAGTCGTGTATTTCCAGTTCGAGTCTTCAGATGTTCCATGACGGTGAGCTGTGGAACATGTGTGCTTTCTGTTTTTTATGTCTTCTTTGGTTTTATGATGCTGCATCTCCATCAGACATGATTTCAGAGTCCTCTAACTCTGGCCCGGCGGAGAGGTGGAGCTAATGATTCAGGAAAACAAAGTCATGTGTTGGAAAATATATCAGGGTTTTTTCCCCCAAATAACCAGCACCAGAGGCATCGGTATAGGAATGAATGCCATTAGCTAACTATGGGTGCTTAGCTTTATGAGCCTCTGTGGTTTGGAGGAAATGGAGCTCTGAGAAGTCATATTTACCGAGCAGCTGGAGGGCTTTGTTATGTGCAGTCAGGTTGCTGAGTGTTTCGCACGCTTCCACACATTAAATATCCCTACGCTCACACCATCAATGTATAATAATGCGCCCAAACACATCAAAAAAACACACATACAAGGAGAAAGCCAACCTAGCGGGCGCACACTCCTCTGCTGAGTCAGCACGGCCCACTATTTTCACAGGCTGGGCCCTCGCCCTTTGTCTGCACCCCAATATAGCTCACGTCTCCGGCTTTTGATGTCTGACGTTTTTACCACTTGGCGAGCGCTAACATTCGTGTTATTAAAACAATAACAGAGGAGAAGATTTACAGGCTACGCTGCAGACACATGGGCGTGAGATAGCAGGAGGGTTATTACTGTAACCAGGCCCTGTCATCTCCTGTATGAGCTGTCGGCAGAGAGTGAGTGCCAAACTGTCTACAGCTGTGCAAAAATGCCTCAGCCGTCAGCCATTCAGGAGTATTCAATTAACGCTCTTAACCATTAAAAGTTAATAAATCATCATTATTCATGTAATTGCAGTTAGGATAGGTATATACTATGTCTACTTAGAGGATTTGAATCCATGCTGAGTCTAAATGTCCTCCTTTCAGTCTTGCAAACCGAGCCATCATGGTAATACTGTAAGTTTAGACTCCATCGTCTATTTCCTGATGAGGATTCTGCCTCCAGGAGTGACAGCCAGTATTTCAGGGCTTCTGATGCAGTTAGAGTAAAGAGCCAGATATCAAGTGTAGATATTGTGTGCGATGATCAGTTTTTGTGAATTTCAATACGAGCTGACTCGACACCAGACAAAAGCCGATGGTGTTACAGAACTGCGTGTTGGCCAATGGATCATGCCTCCTGTGCTTTCCACAAAGACAGATTTCGAGAGTTTGGAAGTAATTTGAGCTTGATATGAACTAAAGAGTTTAAAGACGACATACTGTGGTGAGCATCGACTTGGGTTTCAGTCATGTTATTATTTGACTTAGTTTTGCTGTGTCTGCTGCTGCTCATCACCTGTCACCTGTTTCAGAGGCTGATTGAGCACACCTGCTGCCACTCTGCAATCAGCTGGCCTTTAAAACTGCTGCCAACAGAAGCCTCAGCGCCAGAGTATTGTCGCCAACACGCAGTGGCACAATGGCCCCTTTGAGCTACTATAGTAAGTATTTCTCCTTTGAGTATTTTTGGTGTTTCTGGTATTGTTTATAACCCTCATTGTCTTTTCCGAGCCTCTCAGCAGCCCACTACCCAGCACCATCTCCTAGATTCCTGTCTTACTTCCGCTTTTCACTGAAAGAATAAAAAATGTTAAACCTTTTAGAACAAGTCTGGTTGCGTTTCGGTCCAGTCCTTGCACTCACGCCACACATACTAAAATTTGACGCTGAAAATGTTATCGTTTTATATGAAATTTCTGCTCATTTTACCAGAAAGTGTTTCAAAAAACTAGTTAGAGAAACAACCAGACATATAAAAAGTTGTGTAATGTTAAAAAAAAAAAGCTGAAAGAACATCTCCAAACCACTGAGTTTAATTTACAACAGGTTAGTAATATGACTGGGTATATAAGGAAATTCAGAGAGGCTGAGTCTTTTTAAGAAGGACAGTTAGGAAGAGGTTCACCACTTTTTAAGGGAGATCATGTGAGCTAAAAGTTCGACAGTTTCAGAATAATGTTCCTGTAAGATGTCAGAGAATTAGTGGATCTCATAATCTACGGTACAAAATATCATTAAAAGATTCAAAGAATTTGGAGAAATCTCTGTACAAAAGGAACAAGGACCAAGACTAGGGTGACGATATTCTGACTTCCCAAAAAGAGGACACAACTACGCAGGGGCAGAGTCACGGAATCGCACAAAGTTAACTATAAAGAGTTTTTTGGGTCGGATCGAGTATCTTATATGCACTTCTCACTCAGTAAGTCCACATGACACAACATCGAAACTCTCGCACAAAACCACAGACATTTGAAGGACTTGACAATCTTCCCCAGACAAAGTCGGACAGCCCCCAAAAAAGAGGACATGTCTGGGTAAAAGAGGATGTATGGTCACCCTAACCAAGACCAATACTTGAGGGCCCTGATATTCAGGCCCTGAGTTAGCACTGCTTTAAAACAGACATGCCTCTGTGGTGGAAATCACTGCAGGGGCTCAGAATCACTTCCAAAAACAATTGCTTGTGAACAAATATACTGCCTTCAAGACCTTCACATTCTCAGCGAGACAATGACAAACCAGATTCTGCAGGATTTACAACAGCATGGCTCTGTAGTAGAAGAGTCCTGCTGCCAAACTGGCCTGCCTGCAGTCCTGACTTGTCATCCACTGAAAACATTTGGCGCATCATGACACAAAAAATAGGACAAAGACCCTGAACTGTTGAGCAGCTGAAATCCTATATCAGGCACAAATAGGACAACATTTCACTCTCCAAACTCCAGAGATTGGTCTCCTGGGTTCGCCAACATTTACTGAGATGATTTGTTGCCTTTGCACTGTTTTCCATCAAACTAAAATTTTAAGGATATTTTACCCAGTGAACCAACTCCCATTAAATTGGGTTTTTTTGTACATTGTAGTTTTAATTGAAGACCAGTTCTATTGCAGGGGTTACATGAGGCTGAGGTGTCTCTGAGTAAGTAACTAAACCTCCAGCTGCTCCTGTGAAGCTGTTTAGTGGCCAGCACATCAGGCTGTAGTTGTACTGGTCGGCCTCCAGGTGTGAATATGCACAACTGTGTCTCTTTGTGTTTGTGGTATTTTGCAAGGGGTCAGTCCAAATGATGCGGATGCCCATTTACAGCCAGCCCAAATCATAGAAAAATGCTTATCATTATATCACTTGTCATAACTGCAGTCATTATCACGTTAGGAAATACCCAGTAGTCTGTTGTTCTACATCTGCTGAGTCTCACAAACACAGAGCCAGCAGCTGGACTTCAGTGGCGAAACCAGAAATATGTCTCAATCCGAGCTCTGATTTCAGGGAGACCTGGGAATAATTTTGAAAAATCCATGTTGACAACAAAACAATTCTTTGGTTTTCCAGAGAGCTTCTGATGATGCCATGGGTTGGTTTACCATGGAGTTGAAGGCAAAGGACAAATATGTTCAACAAAGGGCAAAGAGTCGGATTTCTTGCGCATTCGCTTATACGTCTAAGTGCATATGGAATTGGATAGTCTTATTTCTTGTTTATTTTTAAAAATGTGAAACATATCCCATCCTCCGCCTGCACCACTCATTCATCATTTCTGTACTTTCTTTGGAGGATCGTTGGAATTTAATCCGATGCAATATTTCTTTTTTGACTCTTTTGATCATGTGCCTTTAAACTTCCCATTACTTGGACTAAAATCGTGCTGTATTTCATGTTCTGATCTCTGGTCAGCCCGCAGATTTAATCACAAAGCTTTAGATTACACTCAGATGAAAAGGGGATGTTAATAAATCTAAAAAACAGGAAAGGCTGCGGTTGAACTTACACTAGACACAGACAAAACAGGCTTATGCAGACACACAACGATGGATGCATCCAAGCTTCCACACTCGAGCATGTGCGCAGGGAGGGAATCCCCGTCTGAATCATTCAGAGTCGATCCTCCTCGTAATCCCTGGATAACACGTCTCTAATTCATCAAGTAACTCCTATTAGAAGTGCTGACACCTGAACAGAGTCATAAGTCACCCAGACTAACACTAATCCTAATGGAAACACATTTTACCAGCTCAATGCCCTTGATAAACTCCTCCAAAAGTCCCCAGTAGTGCTGTCATCCCGAAACATCGGACACTGTCTTCTTCAGATGTATGTTTTTCACCTGGTTAACGTTCGACTGCGTCCTTACTGTCAGTCAGTGCAGCAGCGATGGCAGGGGGATGACTCAGAAAAAGGGGTTGTGCCAGGACAATGTCAACATGCGAGACCTAAATCAGCAGAGGCTCCCAGACTTCCCAAACCACCAGAAACAACAAGCAACACACCCAGAGCTGAGCTGAGCAGGAATGTCATTCAGATGGTCCTGATTTCATCAGTCTCCCTCCGCTCCTCTGGGACTTTTTCCATCCCATGTCCAGGAGATGGATCGGCCACTTGGATGTTTGGTTGGCTGACTTGTTGACCCAAGGAATTGTTGAACAAATGAATTTTGCTTGTTTGCTTGTCTTTCGGTAAGGGTTGGGCGGTCTTTGGCCAAGTTGGCTCTAAGAATATATTACTCAAGGTATGTTTTAGCAGTGCTTTATGAACTGAAAACAAGACTGTTTTTGTACTCAGGAATTTGTCTCTGTTTATGAATTCTACAAGGAAATGCAGCATGGATTTTAATCCTACTGGTATTGATCAATTAGGCTTTGGCATATGCATGAAAAACAGTCTGTATGGAGAGCAAAAGCAGGTGGAACACAATGACATCTCAGGTTCTCATTGGCGGAGATGTGAAGATGGTTTACTTATCTCTATAAACAAATATCTGTGTGCAGGGTCAGCTAACAATCTAATCTAAATGAAACTATTTGCTTGAGACATGAATCTGCTTTAAATTTTTGTGATAGACAATCAGCATTTGGATTTTCTGACTTCCTCAAATGCATCATAAATGATGGATCAGACCTCCATTTATCTATTAAACAAAGTTGTCAGGGCAGACCTGACAAAGACAGACTTTTAACTGATATGCATCTAGGGTGACCATATTCAGAATCCCCAAAAAGAGGACGTGACTACGCAGAGTCACGCATAGTTAATGTTGAGTATTTTGGGTTGGATCAAGGATTCTAACTCAGTAAGTCCATGCGAGACAAACTCAAAACTTCCATACAAAACCCCGGACATTTGAAGTATTTAATAAACTCCCCCAGACAAGGCCGGACAGCCCCCAAAGTGTCCTGGTAAAAGAGAACGTATGGTCACCCTGATGCATCATGATGATGCTATTTTCACAAACTTCAGACCCATTAACAATGAGATTAATTTCTTTTTCTCAGGGTCAGTTATCTGGGGAATTTCTTTTTGATAAATATGATATGGTCAGACAATGAAACAAGGCAAATTATCAAACATAAACTTAGTATTTGACAGCCAGATCAATCTATTGATTTGAAAATTGTTTATCAAATAGATCATAATGTGTACAGACTGAAGGACTCGCATCCAGATCTCTTGAAATAATTATGGCATGCCCCAGGGCTCTGTCTTTTGACCACTGTTATTTACAATCAATATTAACGATGTTGTTCTGAATGTTCCTAATGATGATATACAGTTCTATGCAGATGATTCTGTTATATACTGCTCTGCGCCAGTACATTAACAGGTGCTTTGTTACTTGCAAGATGTTTTTGATACCATACAGGACATCTTCTATGTGTTCAAATTGATCTTAAATCCTGATCAAACCAAACTCATGATATTTATAAACTTAAACAAGGTGACTCATGGTGTTGTGATTACTAAAAAAAAAACTAAAGAAATTTAGGTTGCAACTGAGCTCCTGATTCACAATGATGATGTTTTATGGATGTTTTTCCCATCTTAAAAGCCTTCCCTCTCTGGATACTGTTTACCAAGCAGCTCTGTTGTTCATTACAAATCTGAAGTCTCTAACTCATCATTACTTCCTCTATGTTAGAGTTGGCTGGCCTGCATTGTCTACATGAGGAGTAAATTACATCTTATTTCTGAGGCGGTTCTCAACTTGCCTCTCTCATATTTATGTAATTCTATTGATATGAAAAACACCAGAAGCTGCAGTCTTCGCTCTATGACTCACTCACAAGATTTATTTTAGCTTACCGTCCCCAGACAGAAGCTGCTGATTGGAATCTCCTGCAAGAGGACTTGGGTCTGATAAAGCTGGTCTCTCTGAGTTGACTAAGTTGTTGGAGAAAGATGCATCAGGCTGTAGATGCCTTAAATGTTGACTTTCTGTTATATGATCCAGGACATGTTTACATGTGATCGTAAATGTTAATTGGCGTGTGTCTGTATTTATATTGAAACATGCTGCTGCTGATCTTGGCCAGGACACTCTTATAAAAGACATTTTTGATCTCAGTTAAGCTTTCCAAGTAAAATAACATTCAGATGATAAAATCAAGCTTTTCCGTCTATATTTGTCACTTTGGATTGCACGAGGAACTTTTGATGGAAACAGCAAAAGGCAAACTTTGCACATCCAGAAGTATTTGAATCCTTGAAGGCGGCTACCACTTGGATTGGTAGGTTCCTGTTCTCCAACCTTAGCTTGCCAAAGTAAGAAGCGAGTTAAACATTGTAGTCATGGTCAAAATCTATAGCTCAAACCTTTGACAGTTTAATTTAACATACTCAAGCTTTTCACGCTTTCCTTTTCCACATTTTCCCCTTCATCTCACTCATAAAATACCCAGCATTTGGTCTCTCATTCCTCTGTAGAGACAACTAAACACAGCATCCAGCCAGTGGCTTACAATCACACATTTTCTAACGGCAGTAGTTTGGCTCCAGGGCTGCGTGTGTGTCAGTTATTTGACTGGTTGGTTGATAATGGGCTCATAAACTCATTGAATTGTCAGCTCACTGGCTGGTCTTTTGGTGTGTCGGTAGTCTGACTCGCTGGCTGAATGTTTCTTGATTGGTTCGCGGGTTGTTGAGAAACATTCATGGCCATCCCACAGCTGGCTGTTTGTGTAGAGTCTAAACATTATAATTCCCATAATACCTGTATTGTTTAACAAATTACAGAGACAATCAAATTGCCGGGTATGATGCAGATTTTAGTAGTTACATATTTCAAGCTCTCAAGGTTGTATTTGAGGGAATGGACGGTTACTTAAGGCCAAATCTAATCTCCTATCTCAATCTCGGAGCAAAACAAGTCACTGTAGTTGAAGACAGTGCATAAAATTGTGACCACAGGCCACAGGCAATTCACCGAGATGTTTGACTTTCCATAACTCAAACGAGAAAACTTCCCCTCGACACTCAAATGGAAATATCAAAGTTGGCCATCTCTCTGACTCTTTGTCAAACTAGGCCGATGTTAGCTGCAGAGCATCAATCTCTGTCGTGATCTTTGTGCACCAAGACACAGAGCAGCAATTTTTTGATTGGCCTTGATATGAACACACAGCAGATCCTAACCACTGATACACAGCGCTGCTAAAACGGCTCGCTAACCTGCTGGGATCTCAATCTGTCAGACCATCACAGCTTTATATCTTCATATAATCTCAATTTATTCAAACCACCCTGCTAGTTTCCCACCGTGAACGCAGCCTGTCAGCCAATATTAAGACTGTCAGCTGTTTGGACTCATCAGGAGACTAATACTCTTGCGACACTGTAGACAATGCAAAGACACAGCCAGCCAAAGATCTGTCTGTGCAGTGACAGACTTCTTTGCAGTTTAATGTCGGAGGAATGTAGAGGAACAGCTTGACACAACATACATGTTAACTAATACCTTTTATATTTTGAATGCTGGAGGCAATCAGAGAGAAAGCTTGACAGTTACAAAGTTATGAATGACACCTTTGGCACAGATTATAATTTTCTTGACAGTGCAGGGAACAGAACAGGTTAATCTGGTTTATAAAGTGAAAGTTGTGGTTGAAAACTTACTTGTAAAGACTTACACAAACAAAGAAGCCAAATGTGCTCCTGTTGATGACAAATATTCAGTTTTTTTCATTTTTTAAAAATCATTAAGTCTCCTTGAATGAAGCCTCTATTCACAAACAAACCATCTCATAAAGGTGGAGGTGTTGGTGTGGTTAAAAAAGCCTGCTGGAGTACAGGAAATTTCACAACGGTTAATGTAAAGACTGATTTGACTGTTCTTTATGGCGACGCCAAAATATTAGGAGCTCCCCTGCCAACTAGCTGTCTCCTCTTAATTAAAGTTAGCCTTTTACTTTCTTATTATCCATGCTGTGATTTGTTTGTTCGGAGATGCTCTACAGATTGACTGCCTGAATGTTGTCTGAGTATGGACGGTGCAAACAGATGTAGAGGTGGAAAAACACTAAAACAGACTTGGCGAGCCCTCCAGGAGAACTCATGTCGGTACAGGACACGTATGATCCAGAATCTGACCTAGAACAGGAGGGAATCAGCATATCTGTGTACATATGTTTTCTACTTAATTGCACTTTCATATGTAACTTTATGTTGTCGGTCCTCGTTGTTGAAACAGTCAGAGGTCAAGTGGTTGGTACAAACAAAAAAGCTTTGCCTGTAGCTGTTTGTCTTTCCCTAGTTTGTTTCTTTGCCATTTCCTGTTGATATTTCCTCATGTTTCATATCCTGTTTTTTGTGTGTTTCCTATTTTATTTTGTAGTATTTTCCTCCTGTGTGTTCAGTTTGGTTTAGTTTTACTTCCTTTCATTGTGTGTTTCCCTCCTGTTCATTAGTTTCACCTGTGTCTTGAATGCTGCCTTCACATGGAACTTGTAACATTGTGAAATCATGATGTGTAGTTTCATGACATTGAAGTTATAACTGAGTGCAAACGGTATAGCCAGGAAATTGCAACATGCCAATAGATAAGCCCATCTTGCTTTCTATGTGGAAAGCTTGAATTGTGTTGAAGTCCCTTATGGAGAAATGAGACACAACATGCCAAGGGTAAGGACTCAGACTGACACTTGCCAGAGCTCCTTTTGTTCCTCTGCATGGCTAATGTTAAACAAACTTCACTGTACAAGCCAAACTCTGTTGGCCCCTCTAACAGTCACTTATATAATTACCCACTGTATACATGTGAAACTGGATTCAGTGGGATCCGCAATAACTGAAAAGACACATCACAGTCTCTTTACATTTCCTTAATATAAAGCTTTCAGAAAAAATCAAGTTATGATTCCATAAAACGATAAAAAGGAAGTGCTTACATGGTCTTTTCTCATGGACATAATAAACACAACCCCATTTCAAAACATCATTAGATTTGTGTTTTCTCCTCTCCAAATTAGTTCAGTGAGTCTTCTGTACTTCCTCTCCTGAGTCCTATTAAAGGTTTCCCACAAAGTTGTGATATTGTCGTTTCTTAGATTATTGGTTAGACGATACTTTGGACTTATTTTCTTTGCTCTTTAGTTCATTTAATACCACTCTTCCTTCCTCCTTTTTCATCTGTTGTTACAAATACCAAAAAACCAACTGTTGTTTTTGTTGGTCCTCCAGTGCTGGAACAGAAAATAGACAATTGTGGTTTTTGAACGAGAGTCTTTGTCATTTTGGCTTTCTAATCTCTGACATCTTGACTCTGCAATGCCGAAGCAAAGCTACAATAGTGTTAAAGAAAGTGAAATCGCTTGATGAGTGATCTCACATGCATGTCTGCTTGTGCTAATCACTCCCATCGTTACATCATCACAGGACAAGATTTATGATGCTAAGTTTTATACACTAAGTAGGTTGTGTAAATCTGGCACACATATAGAGCCAGTTATTTAATTAACCAGGTAAACACAAAATATTCAGGCTTTTAAATACATGATGTCAAACTTCAAAATCAAAATATAGGCCAAGTAATTTTGTCTGAAAGTTGTTTTAAATAGTTTTCTGAGGCTATAAAAGGACAGATGCACGGACAGCTCTGTTGACCAATGACGTTTTATCAGTGCAGAGGAGGAGCAGTGAGAGAAAACATTGAAAAGAGTCACTGAACCTTCCATAATCAGAAGTGTCTGCTTCAAACCCACACAAGAATCTGTACTGATGGACTTTGAATGGTCCTCACAAAGGTGCTGTAGCTCTGGTCGTCAATTTCTGCTGCATGGACTCCAAAAGACTCAACCACGGCGATGCGTCTTGGTGGAATCTTGGCGTCACAGCTGGACAACAACAGGAACAAGAGTATATCAAGATTTTAAGAATGGAAAGTTTATCCTTTACTTTTTATCTATTATGGATAAGAAACACAAGACTGATTGTTTACAGACCATGAACACATAGCTCAAGTACTCATCACTGTTTTTAAATCTGGAGTGCTGACATGAGCAGAAACCTCTCACCGTGTTCAACATTGTTGGCTTGTTACTTCTGGTTGAGTTCCTGGAAAGTCCCTCTTCTTGTAAGCTGAAACCATTAGTTTATATACAGATGATATTCATTTACTCCTGTGGTAAGTGAAGATGACTTCTCTGTTTCCTTTTATAACGCGGTGTGAATCCAGTAAATCAGATGTGATGGCGTCAAATGACTCTGTGTTCAGCCTGAGACAATCCTGAGACGTTAGTTTAACATGAGGAAGATTATAAAGGAGCTGATCTGCAGGGATTTGGTTTGTTCACCAATACTACAAGAACGTATCCGTGAGCTGATCAGTGGGGTGTTGGAGTTTGCTGAATCTGTGAAATCTGCTCAGGAAACTTCCATTAGCAGGTCTTAGCCTTTTAATTTATGTGTTCTTTCTTAATCCCTGAAACTCTGTAAAAACAATGCATTTCTCTGTTTCCTGCACAGGCCCTAAAAGTGGCAGGTCCCGGGGAACAATCTAGATTTGCAGCCTCTTTAAAATGCCATAAAAATAATGTTACAATCTCAAGCTACTCGGGGATGTACTCAACACTAAATATTTGAGTCTTTACAGAACACAGAGAATAGTCTAGATTTCTTTCCTTGTGTGCTAATATGCCTGAGACATGGTTTGTTTTTTAGAGGTTTATACTCTGCTTTCTTACTAATCACGTGGTTTTGTTGAATACATAAAAACCTATACTAATTTCACGAATATGGCAGAAAACTCAGACTTGTTCATAGGTTTATGCGAATGTTGATGAATGCCAGTCAATCATAAACCAAAAAGTGTGCCATCCTGTTTTGTTTTAGACTTAATCTCAGGTTCAAACCAGCTAACTGCCCATACATGAAGCTCAATGCATGATAAATTGATTGTTTTAAGTCATGTTAAAATTACGAATTTAATTTTCTGATGGCACGGTTAAGTGCTTAAAAATTTGGGTAGAGCTTACGCTTAAACTTGGGTGACCATATTCTGACTTCCCTAAAAAAGGACACAACTATGTTGGGGTTAATTTTGAGAGTTTTTCAGGTCAGATCGAGTGTCTTTTACACATTTTTAACTCAGTAAGTCCACGTGACACAAACTCAAAACGTACGTACAAAACCGCGGACATTTAAAGGATTTTATAAACTTCCCTGGACAAAGTGGACAGCCCCCCAAAAGAAGGACATGTCCGGGTAAAAGAGGACGTATGATCACCCTAGTTAAACTAAGATGAGGGCTTGGATCTGAGTCTCTAAAATTAGCTTAAGCACATAGCAGAATCGCCCCATCTGTACAAAACTGTAGCCGTGCATATGTGACGGTTCCTCCAGCAGTTCCTTATGAAAGCGGTAGAGCTGACCAAGATTCACTTTGGCTAAAACACCTTGAAAAGACATGTATCTCAAAAAACACTGAAATGCCCCTTTTAGGTCTGCTGCTCCCCGAGTGAAAGTGAGTTTTTAGGTGTTTTTTCAACAATTCGAAGGCAGACACATCTGGCTGTAGATGTTTATAATTGTGATAGATCTGGATAAATATTTGCAGGTTTCACTTTTCTTTGAATCTGTTACAGTCACAAACCTTTTATCATGTTTATCATATGACTGCTCAGTGTTAGCTCTACAGCTGTTTTTCAGGCCAAGATACTTGGAAAAACTAGACTCAAACCTCAACAAGTTTTTATCCTGGCTAAATAAAGGTCAAATAAAAATACAAATGAACAAATCACGGCCTCAGAAAAACAATAAGGTGCAAAGCCGACCAAAGTTTGTGCCACTCTCTCCGCTGTTATAGTGGCACAGAGTGAACTCAGATGTCAGAAACCATGCTTTCCGTGATTTTGACTAAGTTGTAAAGATGTTTGTTTGGGGCTTCAGCCCAGCAGTCCCAGTTCACTTCCTGTAACATGACAAACATCCTGTCACAGAGCGGCTGTCATCCATTTGCAGGAGCCAGGCTGAAAAGCCACACTCATCCCCGAGCGGCCGATCATTCCAGTCTGTCACAAACAATGGGATAAAGCTCTGCCCTCTCTGACACACCAAAAAACAACCGTAGATCCACCGCGTTCATAAAACTGACAGAATAAAGAGTGGCGTTTCATTACCATGTGTTTCCTTTTGTATTGGATCATCTGATTACATATTGTAGTCTGTCACGTATCGCACTCTTCGGTCTTTTAAGAAAGTCTGGTTGATTGCAGGTGATTGGATGCAGTGGTTGAGAATGATCACGGTCGACATTTGCAGTTCGTCACTTTGATCACAGCTGCATGACGTGGTTTTATCTCCTCCGTTTTCTCTTATGCAACTCGTTGTTTCTCTTTTCGTTTAAAGCCCCTGCAGCTCTCGCTTTCATCGTCTTTTTTTTCTTCCATTTCATCACCGCTCCTCTCACTCTGCTCCTACTCTGACCCTCGATGACTGAAGTGTTTGTGAGACCGTGCGGACAAACATATGGCTCTGACTCTGCAGTGAGAGCTATCGTGGCATTTGTACAAAAAGAGAAGAAGAGGAAACACAACAGCATGCACACACACACAAACTTATACAACAGGACGCACACTGAGAGCTAGTAAAAACTTCCACCCGCAGAGTTATTGACATGAGATCGTGCCCCTCTGCCAAACATCCTTTTTACCAGAATCCACTTGAGCGTGGGGTGGGATCAGACTCAAAATACCGTACGTATTGCAGAATTAACCAGAAGCAAGACCACAGTTATGAGTTGTAGGTGACGTATGTTCTGGGGATGCATCACCTGAGAGGACCCTATTTGTTCCCAGCTAATCATTGCATTGATTGGGAACAAACATGTCATGTAGGGCTGTTTCCCTGCAGCCCTGTGTCTTGTTTGTCTGCAGCTAACCACAGCGGCGGTAGCAGATTAGAGAGAGGAATCCAGGAATCAACAAGCGTCTGTCTGTGTGCTGGGGTGTGCTGGGGTTAAAGTCAGTCTGGGAGAGCATCACACTTTGATTTATGCACGATTACATGAAGGCATAGACACCCAAGCGCGAACGCAAACAGCTGTTTGGAATTAACACGACCAGGGTGATGAACCCGTTGACAGCGCAGCACTCAAAGACAGCTGAAAACATGGGAAAAAACATGATATTCATAGATTTCTTGTAATCCGTCTTTGATGTGTGCGTGTGTCGAGACCCTAATCACACTAACAGGTATCCATTTCCCCTAATCTGCCCGCGGGGTATTCTTTAAATTGCAAAATCAACAAAATCAGAGCGGTTTACAGGAAGAATTAAATCTCAGCAGGGAGCGTGGTTTGAGGCTCAATCAACCTCAATCAGTGTTTCATCTCAAACAAAAGCTCTCAGAAATCCCAGAGTGTAAAGTCTGCTCGAGGTAAACACTTCTCTCTTTGGCGCTCTGATCGGCGTTTTTATTCGGATTGACTCATATTTATCATCGCTTGTTTTGGAAAAGATTGAAGGAAAATCGGAGTGATGCTTCGGAGAGAAAAACGTCCGGCTCGCTAATTGTGGAATGATCATGAAGGGCATCCTGAAGATGATGAAGAGCGTGTTTAGATTGAGGGAAATGAGATTGAACCATGAAACCAAAGACCTGCCAGAGCGAGTTAGGTTTACAATACCTCAAAACACTGAGACAGGTTTGTGACGAAGAAGCTCGACCAAGAATAGACCATGTTCATTCCTAACAGACAGGATTTTATACAAGCTCTTCATGCGCAAAGGTTTGATTTGGAGAAACATCTTCAGTGTAAACACTGCTGCGTGTTATTTAAAGAATCAGAGATATTGAGTTTCAGGTCCCAAAGATGGAAGGGAAACTTCTGACTGAAGAGCAGACAGAGGAAGAAGAATCAAAGAGCCGAGTCTGACTCAGTCACATATATTACTGCACACATTGAGCGAGCTTACTTATCGAGGTTTTCTAAGCCCCGCTTTCAATCATGATCATTTTAAATTTCAAACAAAAATAAAAGCTTCATATAGCCATCTGAACAGCTTTTAGGGAGGTTCTGGATGGCCAAGCTGGTTTTAAGGTCACCCGGGTCATATAGGCTCCACTCACCAGGGATGGGTTTAGCTTTTCACTAGACAGCAAAACTGTCCAACATCCTAACAGGTGATTTGGTCAGAAAGGTCTGTGTCCGATCAGGAACGTAAGCTTGGAGAATGGGCGTAGAATTGGGTAGGGATGCTAATGACAAGTCTCTACCAATAATCAGCTGCTACAGTGTAGTCCCTATCAATAAAACTGCTCTCCGTAGTGTTTAATCAATGATTATGGCACACAAAGGGTTAACAGTCGGTCTCTAAAAGAAGTCCCGCCTCTAACCTAAATATCGCTCTTCAATTGGCTGCCGGTTTCTCCCTAACCCTAACCCCTCACCCTAACCCTAACCTGAATATCACTCTTCCATCAGCTGCCGGTTTCTCCCTAACCCCTTAACCCCTGACCCAACCCCTAACCCTAACACGAACCCTAACCCTTACCCTTACCCCTAACCCTAACCCAAACTCCCTAACCCCTAACACTAACCTTAACCCTAACCCCTAACCCTAATGCCTAACCCTAACCTACCTCCAACCCCTAACCCTAAAACTAACCCTAACCCCCTAACCTAACTCCTAACCCTAACCCTAACTCCCTAACCTAACTCCTAACCCTAACCCCCTAACACCAACCCCTAACCCTAACATTGACACTAACCCTAACCCCCTAACACTAACCTTAACCCTAACCCTAATGAATAAACCAAACCCTAACCCCAACCCCAAACCCCTTAACCCTAACCCTGACTCAGTGTAAGTGTGTAAGCTGTCAACATGTTTGGCATATTGTGCCTGGGTCATGTCAGCTTCAACAGATTTTAATATCAGTGGTGTCATTTATATTTGTGTTTGTGTTGGTTTGCGTGCATGTGTGTGTTTGTGGAACAGGATTGTGTCCCCACCAATGTCAAAATCAAACCTACTCCCTTGGCTTAGAGGCCCCAAGCCCAAAGAGGGTGGCTCTTTCTCATGATCCAGATCATTTTGGTTCATTTAGTAAAAAGAGAAAGTTCTTTGGGTTCTTTGACAGCTCTTTACGGTTACATTTCAATGTGCCTGAGCAGAGTGGAGACAAGATGGTCCATTTATTCTGTAACATTAAATAGTCAGAAACAAATTCTGGTCCGTTTGAAAAAGAGGGTCTTAGTTCACTACTAAGCAAACCCTAGTTCATCAGAGGAGTGAAAGCAAAGCCGACCATCTCAAAAGTCAAGGACAGGAAGTTTCAGAAAGCACAGTGTATCTGTGTCAGTACCTCTTGCGGTGTAACCACGGTAACATCTTGTTTTCTCCTGCTCGCCCCCTTTATTCTGCAGTGATTCATTCGTCTCATGCAAAGACCAACTTGGTGGGTCGCCCACCGCTTCAGCTGCCGCTCATACCTGGTCCCTTCTCATGAAACATTTATTATATGGGCACCAAAGCAAAAGCAGAAACATCAAGACGGCAGAAATTTGGTGCACCATGTCAATAAAACGATTTTGGTTTTGTTTTGGTGAAAGATTCTCTGAGCCATGCAAAAACTAGTCAAAAATTTATTGTAAATTAAATTTGCAATGCATCCTTGCATTTCTACACAATTTCTCAACGTGTCCGTGGGCCCAGTGGAGAAAAAAACAGTCTTGTTTAATTTCCATATTTTAGCGTGGGCACGTCCTGACACTCATGGAAAAGCTCAGTTCACATGTCAGAGTCAGTGCTGATTCACGCTTTTAATTTCAAACAAACTAAATTTAAAGTTTGACAACCTTAAACAGATTAATGCTGAAACAAGTCTTTTGTGTTTTTTTGGACCTGAAAGCCGAAACACTCTTTCAATCCCACACTCGGGCTGTTGGCCGCCGGTTTGATTCTGATCCAGTAAGTGTACGTTTCAGCGCCAGCCAGAAGTAGGCAGAAGCTTTACTGTAAACACAATTATGCTAACTGTGGCAAGATCCAGTGACCACATGAAGAGAGATAGCCTCTCACGCAAAACACTCGCTCAGGCACTCTCACACAGCGCACTTACTCACCCACTTACACACTCATAAACTGAAGCATGGCATGCATCTGTCCACACCTGCAATCACACGATACGGACCCACCGGCTGCGGACACACACACGCACCTACACACCGTAAACAACTTCCTCTGTGGTTGATTTGATTAGGAGCATACTGTGTGAGTATAACAAGGGGACCAGCCCCCTCATTGCACACACACACACACACACACTGAAACCACAAAAGATGAGTGAGGATTTACAAACCAAACACTCCACAGGAGGCCGCGCTCACGGTGTCCAGTGTAAATCTGCAGGAGGAGCGCTCATTCAGGAAAACAGAAATTAAAAATGTTTGGATGGCGAGCTACTGCACGCAAAAGGTGACTCACACATGCATCCAGTTGCCGCACACACACACACACACACACACTAACACAAACACACAATGCCCAGTGTCTCACCTCAGGCATCAGCATCTGTTTGGTCAATAGTGTCATTTACAGAATAACTCATCATTCTTTCCACTGTGGGAGTGGGCTGGGCTCGTTTTGGTTTCAGAGTCACTGTACTCCAACTAGCCAACTCACACACACTCACACAGAGACATATCCAACTGTACACACACCCTTTGCATGCATCACACAGCTGCTATTCCTCTTAAGTATGAATTTAAGGGAATCCTCGGCTGGTGTTTTGCAGCGACATTAACACTCTTCCTCGCTTCAGTGAGTGCAGGCAGCAGCTCTGACAGATTTATCTCCGTCTCAATGAAATGAAACAACCCGCAAATTAATAATGCCAGGAGGGGAAAAGTTCAAATGTCCCTCTCATGGTTTGTGTCACTGCTTGTGCTGAACCGTCTCGCTCCAGCCCGTTGACGTTGACCAGACGTGGATACAGATTGTCTGGATGTTTATTGAACATCGTTTGCAGGCTTGACATTTCCCCCAGAGAGGGGTGCATTAGTTTTATTAATCACCAAAAAGTCAAGTGAAAGGCTGCGTTCAATCAAACAAACCGCCATAAGGACTCTCTGTTTCCCCTCGCTCGTAAGAGAAAGACACTTGAGCAGGAATGCAGCTGCAGACGTCACCCCTGCGTGAGGTGATTTCACTTACCAAGAAAAGCTGCAGCTTCTGAACATTTACTCATAAAATACAGCTTCATGTCAGTGTAAAAGATAGCTGAACTTATGCTCCTTTCTGCAGAGATGTGCAACGTACGGGGTATTGATAACAATCTGTGTCAGAGATAGCTGAACGGTATTGTTTGAAAGTGAAACTTTACACCTTGCAGCTTCAGTGTAGAAAAAGGTCACCGGGCTGAAACCGCCCACGGATAAACAATCAGTGTCCTAACATTTCCCCCTCTGCTTCCTGTGTCAGATGTGGGCCTCAAGATGTGGCTTCGACACTGAATGAAAAAAGAGTGAAGAGCTGCAGATCATTTCCAGGGAAAGAGGGCTGCTGCTGCGAAGGCAGACCTGAAAATTCACAGAAATCTACAAAACAGAGCAGAGTGTTTGGCAAGAATCAACAGTTACATCTCTGAGGAAGATAAGGACTGATTTTTCTGATTCAGGTTTGGTATGATATGAGATGAAATCTATATTTTCTTTATTGAGAGAGTTGAAAAAAATCTCATTCATCCAAGTATCCTCTTTTCTTACAGTCATTATCTTAAAGTGAAAACCTGCAAACACTGAATAAGAACTTTCAAGAAAGATGTCATGATCATAGTTAAGTTATCTGTATTTTATTTGTTTCATTTAATGTCTGGTATTTAATTTTGTAGTTCACTAACCCCTGTCTCTGTTTCAGATCTGTTCCTGTTCATCCTGCCCCCGTCTTGTCTTGTCTTGTCACACCTGCCTCCTGATTGTGTCTCCCCATCTCTTTCCCATCACCCTCATCACCTCTTGTATTTAACCTAATGTCTCTCACAGTCTCGTCACCAGTTCATTGTACCTCACAGTCGCAATATAGCGCTTCGTCTTGATTTTCATAGCCTGCAAATTCTGACCTTGAAAGTGTTTTTAGAATTTGCCTTTAAGGTCCTTACACAACAGGAGCGTTTTTTTCATGCAATTATTTCGGACGTCAATACTTTTTTTCGAACCTGTATCCTGTCAATGCAAGCGTTCACATCAGTGACGTTTTCCCGTCCTGCGATATTGCGGCATTTATTTTTTCGTTTCACGGTCGAATTTTTTAAAGTTTCGCATACTGTGTGTCCACTTCTGACCAATCAGATTTCGTGTTGTTGTGACGTCAGATTCACTGGTATATCCAACATGGCTGACCGGCTGATTGTTTACGTGTTGGTGAACAGAGTGTTTTTTGATAAAAAACACAAACATTACAAAGATAACGACCTGAAGGAAATCTTGTGGAGAGTCATAGCGTCAGATTTCTCATATGACGATGGTTTTAGTGCTTTAACAGTTAAAACAAAGACGTTTACGTCTTTGTTTTAACTTTCATCTGTGCTAAGTAACTTTAGCTCGTAAGCTAACCTGTTCAGATACAACAAACCATATGTATTTTCATTGAAAGAATTCGTAGATTTCATCATCTAGAGTACATAATATCATTAAAAGATGAAGAGAATCTGGAAAAATCTCTGTACAAAAGGGACAAAGACCAAAACCAAAACAGATAAGACTCTTCAGTGGAAGTCACTGCATAGGCTCAAAATCGCTTCCAGAAACCATTGTCTGTGAACACAGTTGATCACTGCATCCACAAATGAAGGTTAAAACTGAACCATGTAAAAAGGAAACCAGGTAGAAACATGATCCAGAAACTGAACAATATCTACAGGTTTTGGATCAACTTTTGCCTACATCTAGACTATGACTTTTTCAGGGAAGACCTTCATACTTCAGCGAGACAATGACAAACCACATTCTGCAGGGATTACAACAACATGGCTCTGTAGTAGAAGAGTCTTGCTGCTAAACTGGCCTGTCTGTAGTTCTTACAGTCCACGACTCATTCACTGAAAACATTTGGAGGACCGTGAATCACAAAATAGGACAAAGGAAACCATGAACTGTTGGGCAGCTAAAATCTCCAAGTCAGTGTTGGTGAATTAAGAGGTTAAACAATTGTTTGCATTTACCTTCGCCAACTTTTGGCTGCAGCAGGTGCTTTGAGAAAACTCTTGTGTGAAAGTGCAGTGCTGGATAAACTTGACACTCATTCAGGAGTTTGGTGGGAAGCTGCTCTTTCTAAGGAACAAAAGCCAAAATCTACCATTGAACAACCAAACCCTTTCAGAGTCACCAAAGTCAGATTTTGGCAACGCCTTCGTCGTTGTTAGCAGCACGCACAAGTGAAACAGCAGATGTGGTTTTGGTGTCCATTGAGCCTTTTATTTGAAAGAAATGATCACACATAAATGAATTTATTAAAAAGCAGGCAAAGAGGCGGATTTATAACTGACAGTTGCCTCAGATGACCAGAATTTAAAACAACCACAAAACACTTGAAATCATGTGGCTGAATCTCTCACGTAGCTGTCAGCGCTGCAATTTTTCATTGTGACTCTTGCAATTTTCCGTCTGTTGTCCTCAACGTGTTGAAAGTCTCTCCTGGAAACACAGAAGATCATTAACTGGAGAAAAAAAGCGAGAAATGGTCACTCATAAATAGTTTAATATAAAGGACTCGACAGCTTAACATTTCCTGGGTTGCAACCACGTCTAAAATAGATTGTATCTGAAACCCCAAAAGCGTCCAGAGGTTGATTTTCCATCAAGATAAAGCTGACAATCAGGGACAATTATGAAACACATTTTTCAAACTTTGCAAAATTCATCTTTCCATGAATTCCCAGTCCAAAAGCCATGTTTAATTTCTCAGCTCTCACAAACTGGCCGTGCTCTGAAAAGTAACTGGATAATGACCCCAAAAACCCCAGTTACAAATCAACTCTCTGAGTCAAAGTCTATTTCTTAACTGCGGCTGTGACAAGCCTTGCACAAGTGCTTGTCACAGCTCGACATGTCAGCATGCAACCGACTGGTACCCACATATCTGGCTTTTCAGGACAAGCTAAACCCTCATGATGTGATTTGTCTTTCCAATAATTGCGACAATTACACAGCATTAGTTAAGCCTGTCCACCCATCTCAGGTCATGGTTGATTTTTCATGGAGCTGCAGACAGAGTCGGGGGAGGACGGCGAGTTTACTGTAGGAAATGACGAAGAGGGAAGTGAGGTGTTGCATCTGAAACCACAGACAGATTTGGTGGGTCTTGGATGGACATGATTCTGGTAAGAAGACTCCCTTATAGAGGAGTGAAAGGCCAGGAAACACTCGCTCATACACTCGTCATGTGTCTGCATGTGCATGTGTGAGTTCGAGGGCTTGGCGCTGTGGTTTTGGTACAGATCTCACTTCGGAGAACAAACGCAGTCATTAATCTCCCCTGAGCGTTACTATTCCCCTGGTGTTTCCAATACAGATGTCTATTTTTAGATCTGTTTCTGGCGTGCACATGCAAAAATAACAAAGATATGGAGTGATAGGCGTAACAAAATAAAAACACGCACAGGTAAAACATTCCCTGGATCATCTTTTCCAAGGCGGGGTCTGTGCAGCATCTACATCTCTGATTCATCAACCACAGCTTTAATGGGAACAGGACAGAAATAGATAGTGGTGGTTTGATTGAGATCCTCTTAATCAGTGTTTTTATCACCTTGGATCCACACCTAGAGCTCGTGGGCAGATCCACCTGATGTTTTTGCTCTCAATGCACGGAGATCAAACTACTGCTGTAGTGGCTACCCCCTTACACTGTCAACTTATCTAACTCATTCCAGAGAAATCTGATTCTAGCAGATATGAAAAGTAGACTCCATGTCGTGGTATGCCTGGTATGTTTTTGTGTTGGACCTACGCCAAAAGTTCATGTAATCCTGTACCTAGGAAGATGCTGTAGCCTAATTCACGCCTCCTTCAAATGTAACTACATGTCAGAATAAAGCAGACTAAAAGCCCTGAGATTGTTCTCGAGGGTGGTATCCCCTCCTCTTCCTCAGTGACAGTTTTGTTCAATGGGCAAAACTCACAGGATCCAGAACGGCTCCCCTCCCCTCCACTCCGGCATGGCAGGCGGATCAAATACTCAAGCATTATAATCAATGTGTGTGATTCCATAGAATCCGTCCGCCATTCGCCTCCCCTGCCGATCGGCTCCAGCGGCCAGATCAGGTACGCAAGGCTTTCACTTTTGCCAGACGCCGGAGCACGGCAGCGCAGTACGAGCAGCAGAGGAAAATGTATAGGGTTACAGAGTAAAATATCTGGTTAATTTTCAAAACAAAATAAAGTCAATATGTTGAACTGTTCTTAACTTGATAATAGAAGAGGCCAGGGTTGTGGGATGTGGGTGTTTATATACACTGACCGGCGGATCTCATTTTATGACTCCCAGGTAATCATGTGAGATCTTGTGAGATCTTTCGGCAAGAAATTTCGGTCATCTCACGAGCGCTTCTCCTCCGGTGGATCAGATCCAGTGGGTGCTGTATGATTGCGTATCTGATCCACCTGCCGGTCGAGAGCTGTTCGGGATCCAGTGGGATTCCAGGGTAAGGTAACCAGAAGTCTCTGATTCCTGGGGACAGTCCTCGTTTTGGATGACCTCATTTTGGATGATATTTCTGTCCCTGATTTAGGTGTTTCATGAATGAGAAAAAAAAAATGTGCATAGAATAGAACAACAGTTATTGCAGTAGCCAAGTAGGTAGGAAGCGCGAGTAAGCCTGTTGGGCGCAGTCCTGAACAACAGTTTTTATGGGGGGTTATTACGGGGGGGAATGTGCTGCTACTAAGTAGTACTGATTTGTTGTCTGTGATCCCACAGCCGAAGCCCCCCTTCCACTCTCCAGAAATAGAGGGCCTGAAATCACATTTTGCTTAGCACCCCCACACCCCCTGGATGTCCCCAGATTTCATTACTAAAATCTGGTCACCTTAGTCTTGTCTGTTTCCAACTTAAACAAATTACACTTAAATTCAGGCAGGAAGGTTTTTGTTGGAGTTCTCTGACGATACAAACAATAACCCAAGAAGAACAGGGGAACCCAAAGAAGTCAGTGATCGCTACAGCTGTTTGGCGATGACTTCGGGAGGAGTACTCAGAGTTCTCCAAATCTGAAATTTCCCCACAGAAAACAAAAGTTATCCCTCCAGTAAACAGGCAGCTTCCTCTAAACAGTGCGTAAGCAAAGCACAAAGGGACTCGCAGAGGGCTTTCCCCGTGTTTTTGTGCAGCGACATGTTTATACCAACTAGTCTGATGATTAGCCTTTAAAGACGAGGGGACCTTCAGTGTGTAAACAAACCAAAACGGATCATATTCTTCGCTAATTTTCTCTTTGTGGAAATAGTGAAAATGGGCCTTTAAAAAGCAGCAACAGTTCCCGCAAGCTAAATCCCCTCCTTTCTTCTCTGCAGCGTTGTGTTTATAGAGCCAGAACGTTTTGATTTATTGGGGGTTTCCTTTGGATGTTCTCTGACACATGATGTTTTTAACGAAACAGATCATCCTTCATTGGTTTAAATACTCAATAACAATGTCATCCAAACCCTGAAAAAAAAGATCATACAAAAGCCTCCCCTTGTACAAACATTGTCAGAACATATCAGGGTAACGTTCTCATAAGCTAATGGGATTGTTGGAGCGATACTCCCCAAAACCGAAAACTGCTCCCACGGGGGGAAAAGTTGGTTTGAAAGATAATGGAAAATATTCCTAACCCGAATTCTCAAAACCTGCATGAGTGCTT